AGGGTTTAGGCTTTTAGTGTTTTGGGGGTTAGGGTTTAGACTTCTAATGTTTCGAGGTTTAGGGTTAAGGCTTGTAGTGTTGTGGCGTTTAGGGTTTAGGCTTTTAGTGTTTTGGAATTTTGGGTTTAAGCTTTTAGTGTTTTTGGGGTTTAGGGTTTCGTCTTTTAGTGTTGTGGGGTGTAGAGTTTAGGCTTTTAGTGTTTTGAGGTTTGGGGTTTAGGCTTTTGGCCTTTGGGCCAAAACCCTGAGACCATGTGTCCTTACAGCCATCAACCCCTGAACCCTAAAACCTATATCAAGGAACCCGGGTTAGGCTTTAGGGTCTCCAAGATTTAGGGTGGGAGTTCGGGGCTTGCGAAATCTGAGGCTCAGGGATGCTTTTGCAAGCGATCCAGAGGTTTCGAGTTGAAGGTTTAGATTTGAGGGTTTCATATTTAAGGTTTAGGGTTTAAGGTTTAGAGTTTAAGGTTTAGGGTTTAAGGTTTAGGGTTTAAGGTTTAGGGTTTAAGGTTTAAGGTTTAGGGCTAAGGGTTGAAGGTTTAAGCCCGAAGGCTACGAGTCCGAGCTGCTCACATGCAGCCTCTGCCGGGCCTTTCCAGGCAGCAAGTCAACTCTTCCCTATTACTACTGTTACTATGACTACCATTACCATGCTATTACTATTGTTACTGCTACTGGTATTACTACTATTATTCGTACTAGAAGCCAAAGTCGTTTCCACAAGTCTTGCGACTCCTTCTCGGGGAGGATGCGGTTCGCTGCTTGCACCTCTTTATCAGAGATACCATCCGCACACCATTGTTCGTTGAGCTTCACTGCGGGGGCCAGCGTGCTCTGGCCTGCACAACCGGGACCAAGTGGGCGGCTGTGGGTGGGGGGTCCGAGGGGGGGAGGGGAGCGGGGGGGGGAGGGGGGCGAACGCACAGCACAACCATATATCCGGTTTTACGCAAGTGGCAATATCTCATGAACAATCCTGAGCAGCAACAGTCATCCTGAAAACTCCAGAGTTCGCATTAGTGGTTAGCGGATAAAGTCAACACTGGGCTCATGAAAGGAGGGCTCTTTAATCCCTGACCCCCTAGATCCCATCTGAGCCACAGCCAATATTTCCTACATCATTTAAGGGGCATGGGTTCCTCATTAGGGACTATACTAACCTACAAGAACGACCCCTATAACCAACCTTAAGGGATTCTTGGTGAGGCTAGTACTAGGTTCCCCAGTAACCCCTTACTTAAAAGGGTACCCTTTTCCTAATGATCAGTAGTAATAAGGAGACCCCAAAATGAAAAAAAAAGGTACTACTGGGGTACCTAGAATACTGACAGTAGTTCATCTGGGGGTTGATCGAAAGGTCTTTTGGACAAAATCATGTAAGGAAATCATTTATGGTTCCTGTAGGTCTCTAAAGTAAAGTGCAGTAATTGCCAGCTCAGGAATGGGAATTCTGATCAACGAACACATACCCTCACCCAAACCAACATGGAGGCTGATATGGTGACCCATTTACAGGATAGTCGTCTATGTAATCTCATGTTTTCGGCCTCGGGGGGTAGCCACTAGCTTAGGGTTTGGAAATCCCGAATGACAATGGAAGCCCCCACAGAGGAATCCCTGATCGTTGCCAGGCCTGCATTACCCGCCGGAACTGCGATGCTCCGAAGCGTGAGAGCAACTCCTTGCCCAAAAATCGTGCCATCTCTCAATTACAGGGAAAGGAGACGACTTTAAGACTTTCAGGGTTTGGGGCTCGGGCGTGGGGTTTGTGGTAGGCGTGTCAGGGGTCACTTCGACAGAGGAGGATCAAATACAAGGATTCTAATCCCTTAAGCCGTATGGCAGTTTCCATTTAAATTTTCATTATCCTAAAATATCGCTAAAAACCCAATAACAATTGTATTTTAGGGTTCGACGGTGGAGAGTTCGGTCTTTGCTCGTTGACGCGTGGATGCCTCGTATTCGACCGATGAGAGCTCAGCCGGCGATCTTTCTAAGAGCTATAGCCTAAACTCCTAGAATCCCCCTGAAGAACCCCATAATATTCCCCTATATAACTCCCTTTAAGGAGTTTCGACCATAGCTCATAAGGAATCTTCAGTAGGCTCCTCTTCAACGGCCGGTAGTCTATGTAGGGTGCCTTTTCGCATGCCATGTTGCTTTTTCAGCTGGGCAAATGCGGCAAACTATAGTGATTCACAAGAATCCAGAATTAAATAATGACCTTTTCAATGTGTTCTCAGCACAAGATTTCAAACTCGAACAAGGGGGTAAGCTCGTTTTGAGCTCGTGAAAATTTGCTCCCCCCCCCCAAGCTTGAAAGCCCCGAAATCCTGAAACCACTAAACCCCCAAACCCAGACAAACCCTAACGAATGAAACCACTATGCCCCCAAACCCTAACAAACCGTGGCACTAAGCCCCCAAACCCTAACAAACCCCAAGTCATTCAACCCTAAGCCCCCAAACGCATAATAAACAACCCTAAGGCACCCAACACCATCCCGTCGAGCCCAGTTTGGTGGAGGGTAGCAGCTGCCATACCTAAAGGGTCCAAGGACCCAAATAACAGGGTCCCTTTAAAGGGATATGTAGGGATATTAGGGGACTGTATAGGGGTATATAGGACCCAAATAATAGGGTTTTAGGGCCTAAATACCATTGATGTTATAATAGTTGGGCCCTAAAACCCTATCATTTGAGTCCATGGACGCTTAGGGTATGGCAACTCTCGCAGTTCGCTTAGGGTTTTAGGGTTCAGGGTTTAGGATTCGGGGTTGCGGGCTGAGGGTTTAGGGTTTGGGCTTTAAGACTCAGGGCTTAGGGTTTGTGTTAAGGGTCTAGGTCTTAATCAGTGGTTAGGGGCCAAACCCTCCAGCCTCAGGCGATTATTTTCTCCAAAGAGCTCCCTTCCACACTCGGATTCGAATGTCCAAGTGCTCCAAAACCGGGTACTTGGGAAATTCCTAGTTGCCCTGTTCCCTGGCCTCGAGCAGGTGACCGCCAAAAGGTTAACTTTGTAAGTGAACCCCAAACCTCGGACCCAAAACCCCAACTCTTAAACCCGGAAATGCAAACACCCTAAAACCTAAATCCCGATCCCTAACCTAACCCTAAATGCTAAAACCTAAGCCCCAAAACCCTAAACCACACACCCTAAACCCTAAACCCGAAGCCGCAAACCCCAAACCCAAAAGAGAGTTATCCTTCCGCTCTGATGGTAGCAAGTTGGACTTGATCTCAACAACCAGAAAATTCCTTCATGGCAGTTGTTGGATTAGGTTTAGGGTTGGGGGTTTTGGGCTTATGGTTGAGGATTTGGGGTATAGAGGTTCCTTTTAAATAGTTATAGGAGACACAAGCCGGACTTGATCTCAAACATCATGAACGTCCTGGCTTCCGACGCTTTATTGTTTGAGGCCTCGGGTTTGCGATTTAGGGCAAAGGATTCAACTATGGGTGTGTTGGGCTCAATTCTGCAGAGGCATGGGTTTGAGGCTTGGGTTGAGGGTTGAGGGTT